CTTGAGGAATTCGACCAAGAGTCCCATCCTTATGCAGCTTGAGTCTTTACAACCAAACTCTTGAAGTTGGCTCATATTTAACAGGTCTTTAATGTATATAAAGTTTGTTGTGTTGGTTTTGGCAGAGATAACTCTTTGTCTTGAAGAAGAAGAAATAGTCTTTCATCCAATATGCCCAGACTTTGACCTTTCCGCCCGTAACACTTGGAACTATTTAACCTAAATCTCTTAGGCTATAGCAGAAAGGAAACAACCAAATATCTTCTTTAAAATAGGATTTTTATTTTCGATAGTAGTAAAGGAAGGGAAAAAATTTCTTTGGAGAAAAAAAATAACTTGACAAGGACCCATACTTGTTTTGTTAAAAATTTCTTAAAAAAGAAAGTTTTTCAAATATTTGAGGGAACGGGAAAGAGTTTTTAATAATAATTTTCACACTTGTATGTTTTCAACTCCAATAATTAAATAAACATAATAAATACTTGTTTGATTACAGAAAAAAAAAAAAAAACTATATACTGTATATAATTATAATTATTATATACAAGTTGGTTTCAAATTATAATTATGATTAATATGCTTGCTTTTTAAATATAACTTGATATATAATAGACAAAGTATTATTTCACTTTAAATTTTAGTTAAATAACTTGCTTAAATAATTAAATAATTACTATTCTAATTAAGGCTCTGAAAAGTATTAAATTAATATTAAACTAGTATTGAAATGATATTGATTTATAGTAAATTTAATAAATAAGTTACAACTTACTTATATAAATTTATAATAAATTTAAATATTGAACTAATATCAAAGTGATATTAAAGTGATATTATTAAGGGTCTTAATTTTGACTAAAATATTATTAGTAAAAATTGATCTTTTATTTAATTACTTTAAATTGATTTTTCTTATTTTCTTTAAAAATATTTCAAGTAGATCAAACTTAAATTAAGTTAGGGAAGATAATAGTTATTCTTTACAGAAAACTTTATATACAAATCTATATTATTTAAGTATTTAAATAAAATTTAATTTAAATATAAAACAGAAAAAAATAAAAAGAAAGTTTGAATATAAGATAATAATTTATTAAAAAAGATGTTGGATATAAAGTAAAATTGAAATTTCTTATAAATATTGTTATTTAATCTTATACAATGAATCTATATTGTTAAAAAGTAAAAGAAAAACCTTTATAAAAATAATTAAAATTTTTGATTTTTATATTACTTTATTAAGTTTTTTAATTATTAATATAATATTTGCTATCAACTTAATTTATTGTTAACTATATTAATATTAATTACTATTTTTTTTTTAATATTATAGAATACAACTTCTTGAATATTTTTAGATAATAATATAGTAGTTATATAATAGTTTTTTGAATATATTTAATATAGTTATTAATTAATATACAATATTGAATTTGATAATTAATTTTTTGAAAGAGTAAATAAATTAATTATTTATTTTTTTGAAATTTATAAAAAAATTTTTTAAAGTCTATATCTTAAAAAAAATTATTATTTTTTAATAACTCTTGAAAAAAAAAATTCATTGATTAAAAAAGTGATAAAATAAAAAATAATATTTCAAGAAGAAAAAAAATTTTGGTGAGAAAAAATTTCAAAAAAATGAAAAATCTAATTTTGATAAAAAAGGAAAAAAAAAGTGAAAAAAAAAGAATATATTAATAAAAGACTTATAGAATAAAAAGAAAAAATAAGAAAAATGAAATAAAGAAAGAAAGAAAACCAAAAAAAATAAATAAATAATAATAATAATAAGTAATTTGAAAATTTTTTAAAAAAAAATTTTCAAATATTTAAAAAGAATATAAAAGAATTTTTTTTTCATAATATGTTATTTCTATATTATTTCTATATTAATTTATAAGTATTTTCAAACAATTTAATTAATAAATTAATAAAAAATATATTTAAAATATTTAAATAAAAATTTTTTTAATAATATTTAAAAATAAAAATTATATTATAACAATATTTAATTTTATATTATAAGAAAAAAATTTTAACCAAGGTATGAACCCACCGACTGGGTGTAAGTTGGTATTCTGATAAAAGCGCGATAGGCTAGGATTAATTTACAAAATATGTAAAAGATTCTTAATGTAATGGCTATAAACTCTCGTTTAATAAAAAGTCTCATATTTAATGCCTGTTTGCGATAAAAAAAAAAAATTTTTTTAAGTATTTATAAAATAAAAATATATTAATTTTTTTAAAAAATTATTTATTTATTCTTGATAAACTTTTTAAATATTAATTTTAAATTTAATATAATATTGTAATTTATATAAAAGATAATAATTATTATTATTATATTTTTTGTAAAAATTTGAATTTATATTTGAATAAAAAATTTTTTTATTTTTGAAAATATATAAAATTATAAAAAAAAATTTTAAAGAAATTTATATAATAAAAATTTACAAATAAAAATTTATTAATAATTCTTAAAAACAATTTTTATAAAATAAATATATTCTATATTATTTAATTTTGCAAGTAAATTTGTCTATAAAACAATTTAAAAAATATATGTATATAATTTTTATTATATTAGTTTAATTTAATTTAATAAACAAATAACTTTAGTCTAATTAAAGATTAATAAAAAAAGAATTAATTATTATTTTATTTTTAATTTATATAGAGTTAAAAAACTTTTATACAATATTTTTTATTAGAATATTTAATAAAATTATTTCATATTAATTTTCTAATATCTGGAGTTAACAAAAATAAAAATTTAAATAAAATTATATGATTTTATTAATATTAAAAAAAAATTTTTTTTATTTAGAACAGCAATAAATTTATTTTTAATTAATATTAATATATAGAAAAAAATAGTATAATTTTTTAAAGATAAAAGAAAGTGCAGTTTTTATAAAATTTTTTATTTGCATCGTTGCATATTTGCCTTTAAAAAAAAAAAATTAAAAAACTAAAAAATATGGTATCATTGCACATGTTAGCAACTTTGATGTTTCCCGATAAGAGCTTTATCAGATAAGCGTGCAGCAAATCAACAGAGATCATCACAACATACATGAGTTCTATTACGAAATAACCGTCTTATTCTCAGAACTTTCGTCGTAAACTTTACTTTCGGTAATAATAAGTCGTTTTAGTCGTTAATTAAAATGCCGAAGACAGCTAGAGCTAAAGCAACAAATACTGTTGCTACAAGAAGATCTAGTCGGCTTGCTTCTAAAAAAGTGGAAGAACCCACAGCAGCCGCCGCACCAACTCGAACGTCTAAGGGTAATAAATCTCGCATATTTTTTAGAAGTTGAATTGGGATGATAATCACTATTAAAAAATTAAAATTAATCAGCGAAAAAGACAAACAAAACACGTCGTCAAAAGACAGATCCCGAGGCTGAAAAAAGTTCAGAGGATAAAAGTAATGCAGAGGCCCCAACACAGGACGCCCCCGCTCCAACTGATACGAATGTTAGTACTACTATACCGTCAGCTCAAGAATCGACACATGGTAATAATCGTATATTATTTAGTAAGTTAATAAGCAACGCAGTAACGCTGATATGGCAGTGCTGACACTTATAACATTGCAGCAACGAATATTGATAATGCTATCGAGCTGACAGCTCAAAGTCAAGCGTTATATTAATATTAGCTCCAGCGTTGGCTCCAAGTTACTTAATTTCGGAACTTCTAAATTACGTGAAGTTTTATATCTATCGTAGCTTTATTTTTTTTCGGAAATCGATCCTGATAGTAAAACAAATTTACATGTCAAAGGAAGATCTCAGACGTTTATATGATTGAAAACTCAAGCAAATTTTGATATTGAATTAACAACTCAAAGTATCCAATGTCACACTAGTTTGGCACGAGTATCAAATTAAGGTATTATTTACCTTCATTAAAATACTCTTTCGAATATACATTTGTTGTGTCTTGTTTTCCCAAGTAGATCTATCTAACGAACACGCTGTCGCCCTACGTCTTGAGTGATTGAAGAAAAAAGATGACCGTGTTGTTTCGATAATATATGACAAATAACCGAAATTTGCTATAGGCGGGATTATACGTTAGAACTTGCTTGTTGACATTGCATAAATAAAATTATAGTTAACGAGTTTCTTTCATAGAATTTATTAATGAATATATTTCAAATTATATAAAGATTCCCAAGAGCCTACATTTTAATTACAAGGTTGGCTAAATTATGATATTTTTATATTGCGTTCTAAGTTTAAAAATAATATATTGTATATATGGTGTGGGACAAAAATAATTGGAAAAATCAACTCATATTTTATTAATAATTTAATAAATAATTAAAATAAAAATAGAAGATATAAAGAATAGAAATATATAAATATATAAAAAGTTTTTTTAAATATATTAAAATAATATAATTAAATTATAATTGAAAAGAGAGCAATTTAAAATTTAAAAATTTTTTTTTCAATTTACAAAAAAACAATATTAATTATTAAAATTATTTGAATATACAAATTAATTAAATATAAATTAATAAAATTTTAAAAAAACTTTTTTTTTTTACTTAATAATAAGCTATCTACTTTTTGATAAAATTTAACAAAAATTTTTTTAATAATAATAAGATATTTTTATTATATTATAAAAAGAATTATTATTTTATTGTAATTATATAATAATTTTATAAAAAATATTAATTAAAATCTAAAAATATATTTATTAAAATATAAAAAATTTATATTTTTAATTATAAAAAAATTTAAAAATTATTAATTAACTATTAAAAAAATTATATAATAATTAATTATCTTTTTAATAAAATATATTTATTATTTATTAAATTAATATAAAAAGTAGGTAGCTTAATATTAAATTAAAAAAATTTTTTTTAAAGTTTTATTAATTTAAATTTAATTAATTTATATATTGAAATAATTTTAAAAATTGATATTATTGTTTTTTTATAATTGACAAAAAAATTAAAAAACTTAAATAATTTAATTATATTATTTTAATATATTAAAAAAAATTATATATATATTTTATTTTTTATATTTTCAAATATATATACATGTATGTTAATTTTTATTTTAATAATAAATAAAAATATAAGTTTTGATTTTTTTTAATTATTTTTGTCTTATATTATATATTTTTATCTAAATTTTTAATTTAATTTTAATAAAAGTTTTAATATTTATATTATAATAAATTATATTAATAAAAAAAACAAAAAAACTTTTTCCTACTCTTTTTTTTTATACTTGAAAATTTTCTTTTTAGAAAACTTTTTGAGTTGTTTATTTTTTCTTTACTTTTTTTCTTTACTTTTTCCTACTCTTAATTACAAATCCTTTATTTTTTTTCCTTTTTTCTTTCTATTTTTCTATTTATACTCCTTTATTGTTTTTTCCTCTCTCTTCCCTTTTCTTTCCTATTCCTGCCAAAGTTAGGTTTTTCCTTTTTCCTAAAGTTTTTTTTTTTAGGTTTCTTTTTTTTTTTAAAAATATCATATTTTATCT